TTTAGAAATGACAACGTAATTCGAAAACTCTCGTCTAGGGATTTTTCTAGGGTCTGTCGGTAAAGTTTTCGACGCTCGCATCACCTTAAGTTAGTTACTAATCACTATAGACTTCCGGAAAGAAAATGGCGGGAAATTTCAAAATCCCAAGTTTGAATATATTAATATTAACATAAATTTAGAAAAAAATTAATATAATTTTTAATTTTTATTATAAAATTTACTATATAAGTAGAAAATATTCGTGATGAAATAAATATTATATAATATTTTTCTAAATAAATGTTTATATGCGAGTAGTGGGGGTTTTTTTTTAGAACAGCATATTCTCTAGGAAGATTTATTATATTGGCAACAAATAGTACTTATTTCTCAGTTTACTTCAGAGCATTCGAAACCATTTAAGAAGGTAGTAATTGCGTTTTATATTTTCCTCAAAACCAATCATAATGTCAAGAAAACGCAAATTATTAAGTATAAGTGAAAGGTGTCGTATTTGTCTCGTTGAACATGGTTGCATGAGTAATTTATTCGGTGAAAATGTGCAATCAAAACTGGATGATCTAAGTAAATGCACTTCCATCAATGTATGTATACACTACTATTTTAACATAAAGATTTAATTATATGTGTTTTTTTATCATACAAATTTGAAAATTATTTTTATAGATTAAGGATGAAAATGGTTTGCCGGATATTATTTGCCATACATGTCTTTATAAATTAGATATGTGGAATGAATTCAAAGAGCAATTCATAAGATCCAATCAAATGCTATTGAGTCAATTAGAAATTGTTGAAACTTCAAATGATAAGGTGAGAATAAAAAATTAAAAGATTTAATTTGCTATAAAAATTAGGCTGTAAAAATATTTGCTTATGTGTACACAATAATCTTTTATACTTTTATAACAGAATTCAGAATTAAAGAAAGCACATGGCGATTTAGATCAAAGTGGAGAAAACAGTCTCTCTGATGCTTCTGATAAGGTATCAATATCACTACCAATATTTGTACCAATAAATAACCTGATTTCTCTCATGAATGATTTAAACTATTTACAAAAATATTTTTTCCAGAAGAAATCAAAATCAGAAGTCCCTCCACTGATACCGCTAGACTTTGCAAACAAAGATAGTGTAGTTGATCAAATAATGCTCAATGAGATGTACATATCAGAAGATGATGTCACATCATCTAAAGATTCCTCACAGAGAGCTCATGACAAAGATAACGTAGAAGCAAAGTCATCCCAGGTTTTGAGTAAGGTTAAAATCTTTATGGCAAGGCGTAACAGAACATTGGAACAAAGGAAGGCATCAACACAGAGATGGGTTGAGAGGAAAAAAGCTCTTTTAGCTGCAACAGGAGAAAGTGTTTCAGACACAGATTCCATGACATCGGATGATATTCAATTGACACCAGTGCAGAAAGCAAGAGCAAAAACAAATTTGGATAAAGAAACTGAGAAGCAGAAGAGATTAGCAAGAGCTCTAAAGAATTTAGAAATTGATATGATAGATAACTGCAGTATAAAAAATAAAGATGGTTTTATGAGTATGGACACTGATTCTGATACACGCAGAACACGGTCCTTCAAAGATGTTAATTCTGATGCTTCATGTAAAAATAATTCCTTGAAAGGGGAGGTGAAAAATGATTCCAAGGAGAAGGAAAATTCTCCGAGAGTAATGTCATTGAAGATAGGCGAAATAGAAATCGCCGAAGATTCATTCAAGTCCTCTTCATTGAAATCAGAATTGAAGATTGGAGGTACTACATATATTGTTACTTCTACGCTCACAGAGTCTCATTACCTAAACAAAGCAAATCTGAACAGTCTCTTAAAGGAATGCAAAAATGGAAGTAGTGAACAGAATCTTAGAGAGAAGAATACTGATATCATTGATGCTGTGCAGCTTCGTAGAATAAATCCAATTCCAACAGATTCCACTGATAAAAAGTGTATTGAAAGGTGCTTGAATATTGAAATAGAAGGAACAGAAATAGAAGTCTTAAAAAGGGTACAAGTTGAATTGGCAGATTTCGTAAAGAAAGAAATGAAACAGAGATTAATTGGTACGAATATTGATAAGAAAACAAGGAACATTTGCCAAAATTCACATAACACTTTAGACCAGCAATTGAAGAGTATTGTAGAAAAAACTATAAAGAAAAATTTTGAATCTTCCGTGATGAGAAGCTGTGATGCTCCTCAGACTCCTGGGAGGGTTTCGCCCACATTTATACAGGAAGTAATGAATTCTCAAAAATACCAACCAAAAGTTGTGTTGAAACGTTTAGATATAACGAAAGAAAGTAAGCAACGCAATATCAATAACATGCACCTTGCAATAAAACGTACAGTTAAGGGTAAGCTTGGTGGACCATTCAGTATGGTTTCACATAAGCGTCAGAGTGTTCCGCCGATAAGGTATAATGATTACAATACTTCTCCATTGGACTCTGATTCTAATTTATCAGAAGAAACAGGAACGTCTGGAATAGAAAATAATCATAATGTACAAAAATCACAAAATAGTAATGTGGCAAAGCACATTGAACAACTTAATGAACAGCGAATGGATCGGCAAGAAAATGTATGCAAAATAAATTCATCGAGCAGTGAAAAACATGTATGCGGTGTATGTCAAGAGTCATTTAATAATTACAATGATGCTGCGATTCATATTCGTACACACAAAACAGACACCATATCAAAATCCAATAAACATAAGATGATGCGATGTAAAAGATGTCATGAGATAGTAGAAGCGAGGTTTGTGAAGGCTCATATTTGTAAATCTACGAAACACGTACATAAATGTTACGTGTGTAATTCTACGTTCCGAACTGAGAAACTTTTGGTGCGTCATTTGGAAAGCCATGATCAGTCTGAATTTAATATAGAGAACATAACAAAAGGAGATTCTCAGAAGTTGAATGTATTAAATTCTAAATCTAAGAATCAAGTTTCGAAAGAAGAAAATAATATAAAATTGGATAAAGGATTGAAGGAAGATGCTATGTCAGAAAGCGAAAGGCCAAAGAAGACGTACACCTGTTTTGTATGCGATAAAATATTTACAGATGAAGAAATATTGAAAGACCATTTACAGAAACATTGTGATGACATGAGCGAAGGCGATCAGAGTCCTGGTAAAGAGCAGTACCAGTGTGCGATCTGTGGAGATTCTTTAGATTCTGAAGACGCTCTGGAAGCACACGTTGAAAAACATTTGTTCGACGAAGAAGATGATAATCCCAATCTCATTAACATCGCTAATGAAAATGAAAAATCGAAGGATGAAATTTATCAGTGTGTACAGTGTTCAGAGATATTCAATTCAGAAATGTTGTTAGAAATGCATATGCAAGCTCACGAAGAAGAAGTTGCGATAGCAGAATGGGAAAAGCAGGGAATAAAGACCTATGAGTTTCAATGCGTGATATGCGATGAACTTCTTGAAACCGAAGAAGATTTAACAGAACATTTAAATATACATAATAGTGATGGGCATGTTTGTCAGTTATGTGACAAACCGTTTTCAAGTTTAGAAGATTTACAGAATCATGTTGCGACACATTAATGCAATTTTGCAGTTCATTGAAAATATACAGATTGTATTAAGCAACATAATTGATATATTAATACGTTCGTGTATCATTTACTACTCTCTGATTTTGTATTTAAAAAGCATCTTTTTAAATTTAAATAATATGATACATGTAAATACCAGTATGTAAGTATATACAGGTTGTTCTCATTTTAGTTATTAAACTTTATTGCACTTACTTGATTTTGTATCTGCATATCTAGATAGGTATAGCTTACAATAGATAAACATAAAGATGGTATGTGAAGTATATACGAGGATTTTCTTTTTCATTTCAATAATAATTTTGTTATCATACAATGCTTTTTAGAATGAATTAGTTCTTCAATAATTTAATATTTCATATCTATATATGAGTATATTAAGTTGATGTATACATACATAATAAAACATTGTTTCCTGATAAATATAAATTAATTATGCATAAAGTACGGCTTTATTTTGAACAAAATACGAGTTGTAATATAAAATATGCTAGAGAATAGAATTGATAAATAAACATTCGTATATAAATCTTAATGTGTTTTGTTCTATGGAATCTAAATCATGTATATTACACACTATGCAAATAATATACATATTTTTTATACGACATAGTGTTTTATGTTAATTTTTTCCTTCTAACAACTTTATTGTGGTGTAATACCCCTGGGTGTGGTATAATAGGGACCCCTGAACCGAGTTACGCCATTGTATACCTTAGTTTTTTCTTCTTTCAAATATAATCAGCGTTTCCAAAAAATGTCATCGATGCCTGATTTATTATGCAATATATCATACATATTCTATTTATTAAGTTATACATAATAAAATTTATACACAAACTAGAATCTATTTAACAACATTATTGGAATCGTGAACACTCTTTACAGAAAATAATTTGGAGGACTAATGATGTAAACAATTACAAAAATCAGTCGCTGGCTGAATTGTAAATGTTATTTTATATATATATATATATATATATGTATATTCTACCATATTTACATAAATACTGTGTATAGTGACACGGTCGTTCATTCGTGAAGAATAACTAGTAATTTATATCACTATATTTATATATATTATATATATATATATATCATTGAAAATTTGACTTTGTACGTATACAAGTCAACTTTTCTGAGCGCATCGCGAAAACAAAAAATATTTTTTGTATAAACAACATTTTTGTTAAAGCTGACTCTAACCATGTTTGAATTCATTTTTCATTGTATGTAAAACTATATAAATGCTTCACCCTTCGAATCATTTTTAAATCTACACAGTCCGTTTGGTTTCACAATTACTTCACAACACTGTTGTCTATTCACTAAACTTAAAGACATCTCTATACTAAATATTTTGAAAGCATGTAATTCGTGAAGGTACATTGATTATGAAAAAAAAAAAAAATTCATTTCAATACATCATTTTGCGCTTTCATTTCCATTCCTTAGGTCGTGATTATGGTTACTAGAAAAAGTGTAATGATTACATGAAATGACATATATCTAATTTTTATATAAAATTTTTTTTCATTTAACAAAGATATTATGATTTCATAACTGAAACAGTGCTTCAATGTAAAAAGATTATGTACAAAAAAGTACAATAATAATGACGCAAGTTATAAAACAAGATACAACTTTAATTAGAATTTATAAATTTTTAAAAACTTCATCCCTTACAAGTAAATTTTATACGTTATAGCCGTGATGCTTTATTTTTGATTAGAAACAAAAAAAAAAAACGAGTTTGACAATTTTGGGTCCCAAATATATTATGTAGCTCTGTATAGTGCCAAGCATAGGAGATTTTCCCAGGGAAAACTTTACTTAATATTTTTAAAAATGTTATGTTTTGAAACTTTAGAGATTTATTCATAATACGTGATAACTCTCAAGTGTAATAGATAGTGGTAAGGTTTCTTTCCCCCAGATCGTCATTTTTCCTAGGAAAGCCTCCCATGTTCGGTACTATACATTAAATTTTAATGTACGGATTTTTCGACGTTTCGCTTTCAAACATCATAAAATATCAACTTCATTGAACAATTGCAACTTTACATATCATTACGTTCTTAAATCTATTATATACAACGATACCATTCATGAAAGAACAGATTTGCAATAGTATCATTTGAATAACAATAAATTAAGTATACCTCTATCTCTCGCTCTCATAGCGTTCGCCCAATAATTTTGTTTATAGCAATAATGGTAATAATAATGAGTCGAAAAAACGTATGATTGTACATTATTCCGAAGTTTAACTTAATATACTCGTGTTATCCACCTTATTGTTTAGCGCTATATATATTTGATGGATATAGAGAACCCTAGCTATCTATGAGAAACCATTACTCCTAAGAGTAAAAGTTTCTTTTCACTTCTGAGGAAAAGAATAAGTCGTTTTTTCTCGTTTCAATGTTATCAACATTTCAATAATAATTTCATCGAACTGGAATGAAAGTATTTATCAGAGCCATTGGCGTGACCAGGATGGGCTAGGTTTCTCCAAAAATTTGGACTGACCATCCGTTGCATTTTGAAATTTGAACCTTATGATTATGAAAGTTTGGATTTTAGGATTTCAGAATTCCAAAAATTTCGAGCGACCTGTCCTACCCCATCCAAAAATCTTAGCTACGCCACTGATCAATGTTACAGATTAAGTCATTTTTTATGGGACTGAGGAGGGAGTACTCGAAATTATATTTCCGATGACTGTTGTATGACAATATCTTTGATATCAATGATTTACGCGTGTTTTAATAATATTTTAGAATATTAGTTACTCATAACATCGAACTGTTCAGATTTCTGTCTGTTTTAGCGATCATCATGTATCACACAAAAATGAATAATCTCTAATAAATATAGAGTCTCGTGCAACTCTCTTATCTAACAACATTTACAAATTTCAATGAAGGCGCTATTTCATAGAGAAATAAACAACAAAATAAGAATTCCTTTTTCTTGTTTTCGTTACGCGATACGTATTAAGTAACTAACAGTGTTTATGAAATTTGGCTTCACGTGATGATTTACTGAGACACGAGGTCTACGTAGTTTGCGGGATAAAGACCCACTCTACCATCTTTTCGTCCTTTACACCATCCTTGTTCATCTTCGTCTTCTAATTTTTCAAACATGTCACCTGTGAAAGAGTGTACAAAACATTCATTCTTTAACTATTTTATAGTTAAATATTCGCCATATTGCCGATTGTGCAAGTTTTCAGGCGGATGTTCATACACACTAGCAGAGCCGGTGCAAGAATTTTGCTACCCTGTGCAATAATATATTTTGCCCCTCTAAATATTTAAAAAAATGTACTAAAGTGTGGTCTATCAAAAAATAACACTTATGGCATATTAATTTTGGCACTTGTGGTAGTCACGTAATTTTGATACCTAGTTGTAATTCTGGTTTTTCTCATACCTTGCTTAAAGCTAAGCTCGTCAGCTTCAGCTCCTTCATAGTCATACAACGCACGCACAAGAACTCCAGGTTCTCCATTATCCACCAACGGTTCACCTCCATCTTCATCCCATTCCTCTTCTTCAAATGGATTTGATTCTTGCTTAGCGTTTGTACCGTTACTAAGAAAAAAGGGTATACGTCAGATGTAAACACTTTGAACTGAGAACATATAGAAACTTTCATGATATTTTTTCTTCATTTTTAGGATTGCATCAACCTTAATGTTATTAAACGAATAAAACGAAATGAAATGAAAAATGTCAATTTATTATTTATTTCCTCGCAGTGCGGTAAAATTAAGTATTAAAAATACGTTTAACACTCACGTAATCGTGGAAGTCCTGTTGACTGAATTACCATCGTGATTATTCTTCTCAGAAGAATGTTTACCAGAACTGATCGTGTCGGTTTTGTTATCTCCCTGACCACTGTCCGTTGATATTACCCGGGATGTTGGTTTCGATTTTGATTTGTTATTAACAGGTGGGAACTCCTGTATCAATGGAAGAACATAATTCAACCCTGTTTTCATGGAATTTCTATTTAGTGCTTCAGACCGTATACGAATATTAAAATCATGCGTGCAATCAAGTACGTATGATAATACTGAACCATTAATTACATAAGTAAATAATGATTGATAAGCTCGTATGTACAGTTCTTATTTTATTAAATTGCATTACGTTTTTGTTGTTATTTTTAACACGGTTCGTGCCTGATGAAATTATTAAAGATTAATGTGTTACTTTGGAAAAGCTGATTTCCTTTGCAAATGATGATAACTATATCTTTATAATTATTATGATAACATTATCGAAATTTAATGGAATTTTTCGTATAATAACAGAAAAGTTGATTTTTTTCTAAAATAAAAATTTCATCTTTTCTCTGAAAAAGGACAGCTGTGCATAAGAATTTCTCTTTGAAACAATTTGAACGCATGCTTGAACTTACACTTGCGCAAAGTATAAAAGATTTTTTAATTTTCTACACAGAGTAATTCATGGTTTCTAACAGTTACCATTCTCGTAACTAGGATTTTTTTTCTAGAGTGAGCTTGGTTCCTCAGAAATTTTGAAAATTTGTAATTTAAAAATTATAGGTTTATGAACTAGGCTTAACAAATCTGAGATTTTACGTGCAAGAACAAGCGCATAGCCGGTTACGGTTAATTCAATGAGGTTAGACGAGCCAGAAGCTTAAAAAGGAAACCCATCCTCGATGACCTCGTCCTGCCTGTCCGTTATGACACTATGTTCATGGTTCTCGATTAAATAGAGTAAAAGAAGCTTGCATATTTTCTGTCTAGTTCATTCACGGCATGTATTAGCATAAGCGAATCGATGGTGTAAAACATAACAAAACTTTACATGCAGATCCTCGCCGACCGGGCGTTGATTGATGAGCGTGATGGAGCCAGCCGGAAGTGCCTCCTTCGACTTCGAGCCTTTGGTGATGTCACGGAATTCCTCTGTGTAGTCCTGCATAATAGCAATGCCCAAAAAACAATCACATGCATGCATTCCAGGAGATATGTCGATCGTCTCGAGGGGGGATATAGTTTTTAAGCTTTAAATGGGGTACGAAGCAGGTATTTTTATCGCGTTTCTGCTTGTACAGTGACAAGAATGGGGGCTTTTTTTAGGTAAAGAGAACTGTATGGTAAGATAGACCTCTTGATTTACTTTTATTCTTCAATAAAACATCGAGTATGAGGATTAATAATAATAGGCACTCCGAATAATTTAGGTGTTCCTTACCTAAAAAAGGGATCTATGGTCGTCACTGTACAGAAATACCATCAATGAAAAGAAAATTCTTTTTTTCATCTATATAATTTTGGAAAATCAAGAAAGAAAAAAAAATAAGAATAGGTATACTCGTCTGTAGTCTCCCACCACTTGGATGTAAACGTTTACATCCAACAATTTGAATGAACAATTACTGTTATTCGTACTTTCCAGTCATATACTAAATTTTATAATATATTTATAATAATTAAAAATTATATTATTGCTGTTCAATATTACTTTCCCTTATATCACTATTTTTCCCGAGAAAAGCCTGATTTGATCGCAAGTGTGCAATTATGGGTTAGAGATTTGTTAGACGGGGGAATACGTTTATTAATTATGCTTTCCGACTTGTAAATATAAGATTTTGAGCGATTGAAAATATCGTTATTTTAGATTTTTATAAACAACAAAATTGCAAAATATTGAGACACATAACTAACGGATAATATTAATACAGTTATAAAAAAAAAGGGAAGAACAACTCTACAGCTATGTTTTTCTAATATTAGATATCCAATCATGAGCAAGGGTTTACATGCGATAATAAGAATCTGCAATGCGTACATTAATATCTGATTACATTACCTCGAATTGTGGCCAGTTCATAGCCATATTTACACCATGATTATTCGACCACCATTTCAAATCCTTTTCATGGTCTGCATTGTTGATTGTGTGATAGAATTCCTCGTATATTTGTGGAAGTCTGTAAACATTAAACAACAATATGAAATTTATTTAAAGAAATAAAAATCTGAATTAACAACCTATGAATTATAATTTATTTCATTTAATTTTAATTTTTCTTTAGAATTATTCAAATTCTTTAACGTACCACTAGTTAAGAATCACTATACTACAGGGTATTATTCAGAAATGCTAGTGCATCATTGTTAACGTAATTCAAACTTGATCTAATATATAAAAAATGTATAATTACACTGGGTCTTGAGATATATTGAGACACTTGTGGATGCCAAAGAGAACTTCTTTGAAGAATTGGAGTCTCTGCGCCTCCATTTCTTGACACTTCTCGAACACCTGGGTCATATCTTCCATATATTTAGGATTGTACTGATTAATTTCTTGTAGAGCTGCTTCGTACTTCTCTTTCGCTTTCTGTACTTCTTCCTTCGTTTTCTGCACCCTATCTTGCATTTTCTTCACCTGCCAATTTAAACGAAAAAACAAGGATGATTTTTGGGGGTACATGATATATCGCAAAGGCTACATCAAAGGGTAAAGATCTTGGTACAAACCCACATTTGCAAGCTGGTCGATAATAAAAGAAATTATTATGCATTAATTTTCGATTGAAAAATATGCACGTTCTCGTGTCTAATCGTATCACAAGTGTCGAAACGTGTTCTGAATGCAATATTCTCGCGAATTATGACAATCTCCAATTCTTTACCCTCAAGCTTACAAAGCAGTGTTGGATATCAATCAATTAAAATTTTTTGAAAGTTCAATTGATAATCAAATATTTCAATCGCTAATTGCATTAAATATTGCCCAACACTGCGACAAAGGAATACCTATAGAAAAGTAAGCGTGACATGTATACATCGACGTAACAATGATTATTTTCTGAGGTGGAACATGTTCCTTAGTGGAATTTTGAAATTTTTAAACATCATGGTTTTGAACTTTTGGAATTTGAAATCTAGATCTAGTTACGCCAATGCCTTTACGTCAAATAAAAAATAAATAGAACTACACGTGCGACAGTAAATACAATAAACCGTGTAAATTGTTTTCTATTGTCTGTACAGTGTTCTGTAAAATTCTGTAGGTACCTGTGTATGTATATAAATTTTATTATCAAAATTAAATGTGTGTCATTAAAATGATGTATTACAAAGGGTGTGTGAAATGGTAATTGTACCGTAAAGAGCAGTGTTCTAAAACATGTAATTATTAAAGCTGGCGTTAAAAAAACAGTCATGCACAATAATGACTTAACGATATTTAGTCGTTTTGTTTTTCTTACCTTATTGTAATCATCGAAGGTATTCTTTACAATTCTTTACGGTACAAAGTGTGTTTTGTGTGCAGAAATCGAAATATTTGCAAGATCTATTCAATTGAAAATGCAGGTTTATTAAATTAAAGGAAGTAATTAATAAAGCGTTTTAGAGTTATTATTTAGATGTGCAAGTATTTTTTTTTTAAGTTGTATTTCTATTTTCATATTAATATTTAAAGAAATGATAGACATTGTTTAAAATAATTAGAGGATCACAGTAATTAGAAAATCATTAATTGCAGATGGTGTTATATCTTTTATACGATGTTCTATAAAATTATAGCTCTACCCCAAATTTTAGTTTCAATACTTTCAAGTGGTGCTAAGCAAGCAGTTGTATGTTTCTTGTTTGTTATTCAAATAATTCAATCCGAAGTTTAGCTCAAGTTATTAGCATACTTGAGTACTTTTATGCATCAACAAATTGTACGATATATTCACTGCGATTCCCTAACTGTTTTGAACAATTGTGAACAGTTTGGAACATATGTTTAAAAGCATTGTGTTCTATGTGTATATACTACGATAATCTACGCAAAGAAAGCATTGAAACAGAGAATTCGCTTACCAGCTGTGCTTTCTGTAACGAAAGATAAGAAAGAACGTTAATCGATAAACATGCCGCATGCAATATTATTATACATACAAGCTGAACGTCTCCTATTTTAGATTTCGCAAAGGTTTTTCGTAATCTCAGGCCCCATGCACCACATCCACAAACTGTCATCTAAAAACGTCGTTAGCCTTCTTTCAGAAGATCGTCTCCCGTTCGCCAATTAATTCATCTTTCGAACAATAGAGACGCACAACGTGCAACATTATCTATCTGCTACACTTCGACTTTTCAAAACAGGTTTCGAATATTTTTATATCAGAAACAGCACGTTCAAGTAAGATAATAAAATGGTAATTCGAGTTTTTTAATGCATATTACCATTGGCGTAACTAGGATTTTACTTCGGGATTTTTAAATTAAAAATTCGAAATTTCAAAACCCCCAAATTTGGAAAATTTTCAATTTATGCCCCCTACCTAGTTACGTCAGCGCATATTATAATGGAATAAAACAGTTTGTTTCTTTGACAGCTAATAAGTACATAACATAATTTAACATTTATCTACGATTAATAACCTAAACGTGCAAGAATCATTCACGAAAATTTTTGAAGCATTTCGTGGCATTTAGGTCAAGATATAAATATGTATATCAAGGACATGGTATAACACGACATGCAAATTTTTCGATAAAACGAATAACAACACGAGATTTTGTTAACATACGTTTTCAGAGCCTCGGGCCATCTGAAAATAATACTTGCTAAAGAACAGCTGTATCTACTGTATTGAGCCGCGAATGCGTGAATCGAGATGCACACTACTACTGTTGGTACGTACAACACACACGTGTACACATTACATCATTGTGTATTGCGTGTGTGCGTTATGTCTTGTCAAGGATATTGTCGCTTTAAAAAGAATTTAATTGCAGTAATTTAATTTGCAACTGTTACGTACAGAATAATTACTCGTACCGATAGCTTTTATGCGATGCTCAAAATAAATAAAGAATCTTGATTGAATTTCTCAAAATTATTCTCTTGTTAAGTAATAACATATAGAGATAGATATTACGGTTTCGGGTTAATTTCTTAAAAGCGGGTTCAGCTGACTTTTTTGACTCCCCCTCTCCAATTTTGCTATTGTCATATGCAATTCTAAATTGAATGTCGAATACATATTCGAAAAGTTTCTGAATTTCGAGCATTTCTATTTAAAGACACTTCGTGTCTTCATCCGAACCCAGCCGAACCTGTCCGGATCCACTCGACTTTTTCCCGATCGGATCCGATACTTATATACTTTATGGAAATCGTTTATTGCATATACAAAAAGAATAAATAAAGAAAATGATTAATAAACTAAAATTTACAAAAACGAAAGCAAAATATTCAACTAAAGATCCTCTAATCATTTCGAGCAGCGCGTCAAATCAATTCAAACGTTCAGATTCACTTTTTAATATAATTTGCGATTCGAAACGATGTTTGTTTGGTGCACCTTTTAAAAGCGAACAAGATGACAAACACATTGTGACTCGAATACGTAATGTGACGATTGCGCTAATCGTCGATAAACGGGAATGACGTAACCCGTCAATAACCGTGATCAATGTTAATCACTAACATCCTTTTTTACCTGGTCCGGCGAAAGTGAACTATCAGCAGAAGCGTTCCTTTCAACGTTCGCTGCGGTTCGTTCTGTTTTACAGCTGTTGTGATATTCGGCTTTCGCTTTTTCCACTTTCTGCAAAAGCTTCGCCCATGGTTTCTGCGCTTTTTTGAAGGCATCCTCCATCTCCTTACGTTCCTTCAGGGTCATCATCGACTGCAATGGGAACCACATCCATGCTACATTAACAATTATGCAATACCTACATGGAAAAGTAAACGTGTAAAACTGTTGAGGAATTTGATGAATTTTGAGAGATCAATTGAGAATTTTAGTAGGTTGATTTTTAATAAATTTTATAAATTTTGATGGATACATATCTGACCCATAACATGAGTCATCGCCATTCTTCCTGAGGAAGCCTAATTTGATAGCAAGTGAACTTAAGGGTTAATTATAATGTACAAACTTAAGATTGTCTTCTTTTAACACTGCAATCATTAAATCTAATTTTTTTTTAACGAGGACATACCTTGTGATAGGTGTCCTTCTGCCACGTTTTCACCTGATGAATGATGTCATTACAGAGGTTCTCTTTGACCTTGAGGTGAAGATCACACAACCTGTCCGATTCAACCAGAACCCCTTTCCACGCTGCCTCGGTAGTGCCATATTCAGGTCCTTTCTCAATCTTATCGTTCCAATTCTTGGACCAATTTTTCAAAGCTTTCGCGTAACTCTTCTCTATCTCCGCCCTTTCTTGGACCAGAGCTATCAAACTGTCGCACAGTTTGTGACCATCCTCGATTCTTTTGGTTGTTCGTTTGTAGTTACCCGGCTCCCAGAAGGAGTCCGAGGTTGCTATCAGCATATTATCGTCGCTGTGATGTGACATCCTAGCCTAATTTGAGAAATTCCTTTCACCTGAAAGCAAAGAAGAAAAAACATATTAACATAATAGCAATTGTGCCCGTATCGTCTGCGTACCGTATACGTATCGTGTCGGTAGCGTTCCGACAATGTTCATTTTAGGTCACATAAACCCGAGAACAATAGGCACAATTCTCTAATTACGATAAAAAGAAAGTACCGTTACGTAAACTTCTTATACTCAACAAAAAATTATACAAAATTAAATTTCATAATACTCTACGTCAATGTTATATTTCCTGCAAAATATAAAAAGATAAGAACAGCATTCTTACAACAGTAATGTTGATACCCTTGCCTACGTACTTATATGTATACGCGTGTGCGCGGAACAGGGATCGATAAAAAAACGAAAAAGAATAGAACGATGCCGGGGAAATGGTTGAAAAAGGGAAAGAAAGAGCGAAAGAGAGGAAGAAGAAAGGTGGGCCGAGGAATGTTGTCGGGTCAGCAGAGCTGAGGGCGTTTATGCTCGATGCGGAGGAGGAGAAGGTCGGATCAAGGTTCCATGGGGTTCGATTTTCGGCGACCGGTGGAACAGGTGAACGAAATGGTTTCCTGTTTCACCTTTCACGTTCACACGTATACGCCAGTGCAACCGTGACGAAGCCACTGCACCTTCACGGAGGATCCTCCGAGTAAGCGGACTACGAATCAGGGACGAGCATCATCGCAATCTTTTCGAGTAAAGGTGTACTGATACCTTATTCACGCGTTGGTCGATACAATATAAATGGATATTCGTATTATTATAAATATTAATTCTTCACCCTGCTATTTTTCACCTTACTAGCTCTATTAAATACAAAATGAATGTAAAATTGTGGTAGGTAAAGATTCTTCAATTTTAATATTTTAGAATCTTAGAATCTAAAAATCACAGACTTTAAAAATTTTGGAATTTTAAATTCTTCGAATCAAAGTAATTTGAAAACCTCATAAGAAAAATAAAGTGAAGATGAGCGTTCATAAATACTCAGGTATTCGAATACACCCTAATGTATCACATTGCTTGAAAAGACTGTCCTGCTGCCCCGTCCCTGTTACAAACTATGGAGGAACGAGTACGGTCATTCCGAAGCATGGAATGTTGCTCCACCGGCTCGATAAGCACCGTGTTACCAGCGATCTCGTAGGCGCCACGACTTGTGCTGATTAGTTGATTCTAGCATTACTGGCTACTGGAGATCTTATCAGGTCGTTTCAAAAGTCTCTCCCGTATTCTTTTACTCGACCTTATTGTAACAGCAAACACGCAAGCGAATACATTTCATTTTCAATGTAATTCTCATTTTTCATATTCCATTCCTCTTTCTTAGAACAAATAAACTGATTTCTTAAACTGGTTGATAATATTCTAAGAAACTAGCGATTAATAAAATCCTTTTATTGTTATATCTATATTTAGATTTATAACTTTCGTAAAGTATTAGAGTATTAATGATCTAAATTAGCCGAGTCAGGCTTATCTGATAACAGATTCTATATAGTGAATTCAATATCAGGATTACTTTATTCGAAGCTATCGGGAAATTTTTAATTTTTTAAGATATATGTTTTATTTTAAATTTGGAAAATTTTTTATTTAACCCAGACCCCATGCTAGTAAAGAAAAATGAAAAGATCTTTTAATTTTTATATACATATAAGTATGTAATTTACGTCAATTTTATGTTATTTATGGAGTTTATATATAGATAAGACAATCTCTAGGAACTTTAAATGTAATTTCTTGCAAATTACTTTTCTGCTGCGTTTAAATAAAACTGCGACGAACTTTAGCGATTAATCACTGTCTTTATATAAACGCTTGTGAAGAAGCTGACGACAGACAAATCAGATGAATCACCAGTTGTTTTTTTTTATTATTATGTCACGATTATCGCTTCCAGCTTTGGAATAATAAGTTTGCGTTTTGTTAAAACCACTATAATTCATTAACTGGATATGACCTACTACTTAAAAGCCATACATTTATTAATGATTCAACATCGTTTTAGTTGTATTACTACATAATTCATTAATGAATCATTATTAATCGTCTCATGGAAAATGAGCACAATATTATTTATTACGATGTCATTATTTTGTATCAGTGAATGATGATGATTCATTTGTTGACTTTTTGATTTATTGTTATATGTTTATATAATAATTTATATGACATATAAATCATTTATATGATTTTCGAAAATTATTATATATGTTGAAATTCCTGAAAAAATGGGGATGGGGGAGGCAAACTAGAATCGCAATTATGACATAAAAATCCAAATTAAAATTTTTTGGTTTCTACTTACTCGAATTTTAATATATAATTTGATACACTATAAATCAAAATGTCTAAATCACTGTCTTTTATTATCTTGTACCATTTTTAAATTAAATTTAATTAATTTCACTGCGCTATTATAATTTTTCTCTAATTTAATAAAAGAGGCTAGGACACAAATAATTTTTGTAAATCATTATGTACTGCTAAATTCAAATCACTATCTTCACGCTTATATGATGTTTTTACAGTCGAAACGTAGTAAACCTATTCGGCAATTAGTCAGTCGTACAAGGTGTTAATGTGAGGAATTAATCAACGAAATAGCGCACTATAAATCAATAAAAAAAAGACTGTTCGTTTTTTTTTTTTTTTTGGTCGTTGATCGATGACATCATCGTGTTTGCTTTTCCTGATAAAACGTCAGCGCGTCTGCCGATTACAGCCATGTAGAGGAATGTCGATAAGATACTGGGTGTCGTGAATAAACGTGACTAACAGCCGCGTGAGCATAGAACCAATGAGTCGCGAACGTCAGAACTAACGAGAACTCGGGAACGTATCCAAAACCCTTACTGAGAGGGAAGTATTTTGAAATTCGGGAACTTTGAAAGTTAGATCATGGAATGTTGAAACCATAGCCTTTGAATTTAGCAATTTAAAAAATGTTAGTTTTGAAGTATTGCTTTTCCAGCAAAGCAAATACTTCATTTTGAAATTTTATTCAACTATTCTCTTCACATCCGGCCATCTAGTTACAACAAATTGATGTGCTGTATAAATTAATTTTTTTAAGAATTCATAATTCCTGTAAGAAGGTGAATAATGTTTATGGTTTCGCTTATAAATAACGTTGTTACCGTTCCAAGCTTTTATAATATAACAATATGTTGTATTTTTATCTCTTCTGTATTTATAAAGCTTCTACGGTAAATGAACATCTGCATATATTCACCTTTCTATTTATAAGTGACTGTAATTGTGGAGAATATTATACTTCCTGTTTTCTATGAAACATTCTATTTTAAAATTCTATTATAAGTACAGAAGGTTCTTTTTCACAACTTTTACGCACTGTTCGAATTTTTATTATAGTCATATCATTGAAAAAAAAAAGAGATGAATCAAATAATTTTGTTAATAAAATATTTTACACGGTTTCAATTTCAATAGCTCAAGAAGAAAAATACATACAAATGGCTTATTTTAAAGATGCTCCATCTAAACAAATGCCATAAAACTATACAGAAAAGAGACCATATCTTTGTTCTAAATACGTGTCCTATTTAACATTACCTATTACTAAATGTTTTCTAGATTCTGATACTTTTATTTACGTTTTCTTATTGAAACATAATCGATCATTTGTGTTTGGAAATGATAACTTTATAAGGATTTAGAACAGTTATCTTTAATCTATATTTTGTTGACTTTATCAATGATCCCGAAAAGAGTCTATCGTGTTATGATGTAAAACGAGAACAATGCACTGTGGTGGAAAATAAGGTTCTTTACATGGTTTATTTTAAGGGAAGAATATCGTTTAATGATAAAATTGAACAAATGTAAGTACACTCGCGATCAAATCAGGCCTCTCCTCCCTCGTACTCTCACCCCTTTCCTTTAAATCACATAATAACCATACTGTTATTTCTACAAGAACAACAGCAAGTAATTACATATCACTTTATTGTCGGTTGATTACAACTTTCTTTTAAGTCACTGATTTATCAACAGAGATATAAATAAGTATGCATCACGTTGATTTGTATTATCAGATAATATTCGATAATCTGAACAGATAAGCACATTTTTTCAGGCAATATAAAAAGTACTTTCACAATAATGTTCACATATGTATCTATACTTTTTTTTAAATCCAGATATTTTTCAGAAAAGTAAAAAAAAAAGGCAAGCAAGTATAACTGATGTAGTAGAAGCAGTATCATATTAGTAACGCAATAGCATAATAGCTATTACAACCAGTATGCTGGTAGTTACACGGTAGAATAGATACAAGTAGCATGGTAGGATAGTAATACAGTTGGAAGGCAATAAGAGCGTAATACAGGGTATCCCAAAATGGGGTGGTAGCTGGGGTGATTCTGAACATTTCGGATTGGTCAGTGTTTTTCTTTAATAATTCAAAAACGAAGTTTCAAACAACATTTTTGCAAAGGAAAATGTTATTCAGAATTACCCCAGCTATCACCCCTTCAAGCAGCTAATACTCATTCTGGGACACCCCGTATAGTGCAATTGTAGTATAGTAGCCTAGTAACATAAATATAGTTTTACCTATATATTAGTGTAGTAATAATAGCACAATAAGATGGTAGTAGGTTAACAGCAGCAGTATAACTGTAGCTTAATTGTAATACTTGGTATAGTAGTTATTATAGCCAAAGTACGAATGATTTTCCGAGATTACAAATCTGGCGACGGATATTCGCGTCGTGATGGAGATACGAACAATGCTGAGAATACAACGACCGAGGAAATGGACGTCCTTTAAAAGCAGCCCCGTCCACCAACTGCACAGTAAGAAACGAAGACTTTAACGTTGCATCGAATTCCTTTTATAACAACTATGCGCCTCATCTTCGTCGTTTCGGACCAGCAGGAAATAACTTTCTGACCCGTTTTCAGTTGAACGTACAACGACGACCAAAGAAAATGACAATTGTACCCGACAACACTTAAAATAGAAATACGAACTAATACTGCACATAAAAATAAAATTCTACACCTACTAAACTGTGTATATTATATTTATACAAAAAAAGACATCAAACTCAATGGGGGGCTCTCATTTACAAAATGAAAATAATAAAAAATACAAGATTAATTATAATAAAATTGGGGCTCTCTCCATGGTCCGCCGTTCGAGGACTAATGATAACTTCTTATCTCTCGAAGAACAAAGGTCAATTGATCGATACTGATTTACAAAATTTGCTTAACGCCCACAATTTTGAAGATACAACAATGAAACTTAGGGGAATGTATAAAGAAGAAGTCCAAATGTAGAATCTAATTAAACATTTTACTAATAAAGGAACAAAGGATCCTAAGGCTTTTCTTGCACGCAACAATATAATTCTGAATCTTTTTTTTTTATTTAAATAGTATTTTCTGGAATATTAAACTGGATGGAACGTTATCTAGGCCAAACAGAAACAATTATTTTCCACGATGCAAAGTTTATCTAGTATGTTGACCCGCAAAGTGGTTCGTTCAAAGATACCATCTAAGAAGACGATTCCTTCAGCGATACTATACTCACACGTTCGCGTATCTATTTCACTCGACGAAAAGGTATTGAAAACATGAATCGCCTAAGGTGTTGCTATAGAAAAACCCTCATTTTCCTATGGATGCCTAGACTCTTTGAGATCCTACAGAGACCTGCTTCAGAGGTATGAGGTCAGTTCGTAGCCCATTTCTTTGCAAAATGCAGAAATCCATTTTCCAGGTAATTTTAAAAATGCCTGCATACGTGTTTGTTAATAAGATTCTTATACGAATTTTTAAACTTATAATCGTGTGTGCAACTTTAAATTTTTAATTTCTGAACCTCGAAATTTGAATTTTGCTTTGGGTATTAAGCAAACTTAAGTAATTCTGCTAGTATGAAATATTCTACTTATACTGCAGTAAGAACTGTAACTTGAAGGTATTTGTGACGTTAGTCGTGTCACATATGTCTTCATAAAAAGAGAGGAGCACCAGAACCGGACATTGTGGTAGTATGTAAAAGTAGACTGCAAAATAATAGAAGAACGTGGGGAACAGTTTGTGTATAGATCATGAAGAAAGGATTTGAATTCGGATCGATGTTGAAACGAGTCTTGACAAAAAAAGCTCTTTTGTTCTTTTTAGCCCCTCGAATTGAACAGGGCTGTATAGTCGCGTATTGTCATGACAATTTCTGTATTCTGTTAATTTTTGTATAAATATTTTTAATTGAAATTTTTAAATAAGTATGCGCAAAGTGGATCATCAGAAAAACTAATTTTCTAAAATCAATGGTTTAATTTAATCTTGAACGAATATTCTACTTAACAAGTACCTAATTAGTTTAATTAGACCACCTTATTTGAAAAAAATAAAAATCACAGGTATGAATAACCGTTCTTTTTTATTCAACGAGAGCTACTTCCAACTTCTCAAATTTCTTCACCACGAGCATTAACTGAAATTCCAACAAAAGCTTGGAAAATGGATGAAAACGGCTAGCAGAGTGACACGGGAATGGGCTTGAAGTATTCGGAGCGTAAAGGTACCGACAAATTTCAGTGGCCGTGTTTCATCTCCAGACAGTCAAGATGGTTGTCCTGGTCGTCGAGATTTCATTTTCACCAACGTTCCAACGAACCCTGGCTATAGAAATGTTGATAACTTTGATAACAAATGGAAAGACGAAGTAACAATTAAAACTTGTTGAAATATGTACACATCTAGATATCTTTGACAGAGACATTACGCATCTCTGCTCTACGCTCTTCAATCTATTGAAGTTCCAATGCAGCTGTTCCTTTATTATTATTTTTTCATTTATAAAAGTAAACAGAATAAGCTATAATATACTAATTTTGGGATTCTTAATTTTAAGCATAGATAAGAATTATATGATTAATTTCTGCTATCATTATAATTATTGTAGTCATAAAAATCATCCTAATAATTTTAATTACTATAAACGTTATAATTATCGTAGAATTAAAAAGTCCACACAATGAATGTTTAATTGAATCAATCAATATCTAATACATACTGCAATAATTATCATTATCATTAACCCCCGTTCAGTAAACAGGGTCAGACCCCCGATACAGAGGGACATTATTCTATAAACGATCATGAAATTAAATAGTAGCCGAGAAAAGTCAAGGCTGATGAGGAGCATTAGGGTGCTACGTTGCTTTGATTAAGGTTAAAGTCAACCTATATCACAGATAAACAATGTCATTCTGTTTTGCATTGCAAAATATAATTCCATGTTTATCAATTAGAACTGCTATTAATAAATACAAAGATCTTTTTAGCAAAACAAATACCTCTGTGAAGAATTAAAAGTGGAATAACAAATAGGAATAATAAAAATTATACAGAAAAGAAGAATCTCTGCAAAAGGTAAAAATCATCAAAAGAATCTGTACGTGCTACCTGAACTAACGATTTCCAAGATTCTTCAGATCCTTGATTAATCTAGAGCGGGCTTTCGTGCAGAACGTAAGTAGCAGACGTATTTAAAGACCAAAAAAAGGAAGGAAGAAAAGAAAAAAAGAAGATGCACATGGGAGTGCATACAGGATGCATGTGTGCGTGGTGTACGAGCAACGAACCGTGCAGTTAACGTGCGTGTGCATACCTAACAACCTACGAAATTAACGAAACAAAAGTTTAACTAGTTCCCGACCACTTGTTCTCTTTTCACCAGTGTCCTCCAATTACTGACTTGCGTCGTCACTCGACGAGCTTTGACGACTTTGAAAACTAGGATAAACTCGATCTCCTTGCTCTCTGACATATCTTTTTCATTCAAATGCAACCTACCAGATGCACAGGTGTGCACGTAACCACGCGTGCACTCGTTAGACCGTATCCTTGATTTACTCGGTATGTACATAGATGCTTTAAACATTACGTACTGTGTACATTTTAATGCTTGCACGGTCAACTGTGGCTCTTTTTCTACGTCTAAGAATCCGGTACTAAATATTCTATCACGCGATATCGCGTGCTAAATTCTTGTAATTTGAAGGTCGCAACATCAAATTTGTGAACCTTGTCAGTAAAATTATAAATAAAATTTTATTTATAACAGAAAATTGTTTATCGATTAACCATCTATCACATTCATGCACAAATGACAGACGAATGATATTATACAAGTGGTAAGGCAGTATCTTTACCTTGGCATGATTGGATAATGACTCTCGTGAACGCTGTTAATTCACACTGCAGATGAACCACACGATATCACTGTCGACACTGAATCACGCATACTTTTGTTCCGAAAAAAAACATGAAGTGAATGGAACACGCACACAAATTTATAAATAACGCGTTTCTTCGAGGATTATGAACGCTCGATCCGCACTGTACGCCGTTCGGAGCAGAACTGACGTTCTCTATAGAACGTTTGGCTCACGGACGATCACGGCGCAAGATGTACACACAGAGGCAATGTAAATAATTGTACAACCTTGGTCAAAAGTAGTAGAATGCTTATTAACATTTCTTAAAAGCTTTAAGAAAAAGAAATCATTGAAGTAGTTAAACTATTAAAAAAAAAAAAAAAAAAAAAAAAAGAATTAATCATACATTCCTATCAATATTTCAATTAGCAATAAACTAAGCTATCAAGATAATTAAAATTTACTGCATTTCTTCACGGATAATTTATAATTTAAAAAGCTTTGCGTGTTCTGAGATTAAAAATAAATATTTATAATCATTTAGTGTAACAGTATTAGAAAACTGAAGTTCTTGTTACATTTATAATTACGATCATTCCTGTGGAAATTAATTATTGTTTTACAAGATGTATATTAACATTCTTGAATAATTAGGTTGAATATCTTTCGTTAAAAATGAAACAACTTAGAGATAAGTATCGTTTAATGATTAAAGTTATGTTCGTTGAGCATATTGCACAATACGGCGCGAAATGCAACTAAAGCCTAATCAAAGTGGACTAGCACGAACGTGCTACAGATGCCGTAATACGGGTAATGTTGGTCAGTTTATCCGAAGCCAGCTAAATTCGTTACCATAAGCAGTTAGGAAGCTTGTTTCACGATGAGGTTACTTCACGTTTCACTCTGTTTCCATCAGGCTGAAATGCGTTCGTTCTCATTCATCGTTACGAACTATCGTACAAATAAAAACCAATAAGCTGGAAAAAATTTCTTCAACAAGCTAATACCTAAAATTTTTAAATGAAAAATTTTTGAATTTGGGATTTTGAAAAACAGAATATTACAAATCTATAAAAGAAAGAAACAGAACACAATTGTTGACAAAAAGGAAACAATGAAAGTAAAAATACTTGTTGCTGTTTGAATGTTTAATCACATGTCGTACGAAAAAGAAATTTATGAGAATACAGATACGACATGTAAAAAACGTGGCATGCTTCTTGTCTCTATTGATTAAGTTACCGATGGAGCGTATAAAGGGGTTGGCTTCCCGTGGCTTGATGGGTCGAGAGGCCGTATTTGTGTTCAATCCTGTTATAAATCTAACGATGATTATATTGCACACAGAAGAAGGACCACTTATGTACATTCGCGTCCAACATAGAATTAGGCTTTTTTCAATTCAGAGAAACTGTATGGGAAAGCAGTTTTCCATCTAATTTTCCAAATTCTACATTTGACTAAACTCCTACGATCATCATAACATAGGGTATAGGTGGTGGAAGAAGCCTAACATTGGCACCTCCCACCATCCGTCTTCAATTCCCCCTCTTAACCATTCTAAGATGATGACTCCTCCCACTACACTTTTCCTTAAGAAGAAAAGTAACATCAAGTGTTAGACTTCCAAAGTTCGCAACATAAAAATTGATCAACTGAATTTAAAGGCACAGGGTCAAATGTGAGTGCACCGGGTATTAAATTGTTCCGTTCCATCGATGGAACAGAAGCTATGTGCAATGTAACTGTTTTACTGTAAGCCGTGAAAAAACGGCAACGGGATGCTTGCCGCTCCAAATACGGCGCGCAATTTCATCGTATGTATAATTTATTTTTGGCATTTGTTGTTTCGCCCTTTCATTCCCTCGGTGACCATTCAACTTCTTGGCACCGTGTGCTGCTTTCTCACAAAAGAAGCAAAACACAATGGAGCTTCATATTCTTGGCCAATCTGTATATCGGGAAAATCTGTTTAATTCGAGTGATTAAAAGAAACCCGTCGTTTGCCTCTTGCTACACTGTTCTGTCCCACAATTGTTCATATAGGTAATGCATGCAAACTCAGTCTGATCAGCTTAATGAGGATGTACCCGGTCTGAATGACGAGCGCAAATTATGCTCGCCTCGGTGGCATAAACGCCGATATTAATAACGCACGCGTCGCTACGCGTGTTGCATCCACTCCCGTTTCGCGCGGCATTCCTCAACATACCGTCCAGCTGCTCGGACGCGTCGTTGACGAGGCTGCTGTTGCGTGAATTATACTTTTTTCGCGAACAATTAACGACACGAACGGTGCGATATTAATAGCATCTTACGTGGCACGCAAATTGTTCTAATTTGCATGAATATGCAGTGTTCACTTTAGAGTGTGATGACTCTTCTGATTCTATAGTAGGTCTGAGATATCTAAGCCACGCCTTAGGAGGTCCTGCCTAGTAGCAAGCTCCGCCCAGCCCTCTAACTGAAGACAATGGAGGGGGGCCTAAGAATACGAATGCCTATATCAGTGAGGGGCAGATCATGTGCATCCGCGTGAACTATGGGCACCGGGCCCATAGAAAGAAAATTGATACTGAAAGAAAGAAAATGGTACTAAATAGCTAACTCAGTGATGGGAGGTACCTAGATTAGGCTCCTCCCACCCCCCATACGCTACGTTAGGCTCCTCCCACTATTCACATCCTACGTTAGATATAGCTTTCTGTTGAAAATGGAAAGAAATTTGTAAAAGTAAATTTCGGAAATTGAATAGCAACGAAAGAAGATTGCCATGAAACTGTTAAGTATTTTGAAATCTACGCAAGTTGCATAAGGCGTAGAACGTTACCAGAGACAGCGCGATCTCATTGAAACGTGCGAACACCGTTATTCACGATCCACTGTGATAGTTCTAGATCGTATCGTGGCAATGCTGAGAAGGAAAACTTGAAATTCAGTTCCACGCGTAAACGCACCACTTATGGAAAGAATGTACGCTATTCCGGAAGTGACAGAGAGATTCTACGTACATACGAGCATGGTGAAAGCGATACTCTCCTAGGTTGCATTCTTTCATTGCCATACGACAACTAACATTGACATTTTTGAAAAGAATAAAAGTATCAATTCAATTGTTTGTGCTTCCTTAGTTATAGTCGTAGTATTCTTAGAGAGTATTGTTATGCGTATGCATTGGCGTAACTAGGTAGGGGTCAGAGTGCCCCCCTTCCTAAATCTGTCTACTTCACCATTCCAGTAATGGTAAATTACATTATTTTATAATAACAGAATTTCAAAATTTCCAAGGGAAATGGCCTATTCTAAAAACACGTTAGGTACGCCAATGTGATAAATCGAAGAATGAATGACAAAAGTGCTTCCAAAGCAAACAGTGATTCATACTCTATTACCTTGTGTAACCTTTAACACATAATTTCCATTGATAAAGTTCATTAATTTTCCAAACAGATACATACTGATTTCTTTCAATAGAATTTCTTCCTCCTACGATTCCATTCACGAACTCAGTTGTTACGTGATTTCCTATATGTTTATTTTTATTCAAGTAAAAAAACTTACTTTTTATATTGAACTTTGTGAACTTTGGATATTTTATTACCAAAGTATTCGCATAAAAGTGTTCACTATACAAAGTGTAAATCGTGTCCTTTTGGAAAATGTTTCTGACAATTTGCCAATGTTACGGTTAACTTGATCAATGACCCAAGGCTGTACTAACATCGGGACGAGCTTTCTAGTTGTCCTTTATTTAAGCCCCTGTTCTCATTTGAAAGCTATATACATTTCTGGCGGAATGTCAAATAACGTCTTGCACAAAGATATATAACCTTACACCCGGAAGTTTTTCAGCTTGTTCGTAAATAATTTTTATTCCTGAAGAACGTTATCACTCTTATCTGAACCATAAATATTTAATGATAACGACTAACAATTGTTCGGAGGTAATAATACCGTGCAACGATGCACAGTAAAACGGTAAAAACATTTCTCACGTAGTAAAATAATAATGTAATAGAAAAGTATTTGAAGAAAAGGAAAGGAAATTGATGATTTAATTATATGCATTATTTGTTAAAATTGTCCATCTATCATTCTACGTCAGAAATATGAATCTGCATCATTTTATCTCAAGTACCATTTCGCGAGACTTTTTTTATATAACAAACTCATATCAGACTTTTCATTTTCAAAAACTAGCCCAGCTTCAATGATATTTTTCCTAAATCCTTTAAAATCTCTCTCGTTTCAAGGCAGAACCCGCAGTGGGATAGAAACAAAGACACGTTCCTAGAAAGTCCATAGCCGATCCAAGCTCAGTTTCAGGTTGAATCGAGTCGGTCAGTCAGCTCATTCCCACGAGAGTTTCCAAAGTGTGTCGAAGAGGATAGGAGAAGACACGTTGAAGAACAGAACGAACATTATGTATTTACGAACAGGTTGGTATCGGTCAATCTGTACAGGTAGTGTTCAGGACCGGTTCCGACGACCAGGGGGTCTTCTTCGCCGTTTGGGACCAACTTTAGAGAGACCTGAATAAACGTATCGACCTGTCCAGACATCTGGATCGACCCTGGCAACCACGTAATACCTGCCGCTTCGTGTAATTGATGGTTTGGTAATCTCGGTTCTACTACTCGCGGAAGTTCATCGATCGATCATCCCTATCGGGTAATAAAATTACATGCCGGATGATTAGCCGGGTAATATTGAATTTTCTGTCCATTTGCGTTAATCCTTGGATGGTGAACCGGGATCATTGGTGACTCATTGTCAGCGTATAATTTATGGTTTGTAAATGTACATTCCTTTACATTTTTTATTTAAATTGGAAATCATGTAATATACGAGTTGATAATTATAAAAATGAGGTAAGTCCACTTTCGTCTGGACACTAAAATTGATTATAAACTATAAAAACCTAAAATTAAAAAGATTCATTCAACAGTTTTTCTAAACTAATTATACTCGTTATTAGATATTTCATATTTTTTTAAAAAACCGATGAACTATTATATACTATTCGGTCATATTCCAAGCTACTTGCAGTTTACTGTAATCTTATCACTAATTACAATGCAGTTGTTACGAGACTGAGATATCGTAAGTCACGTAATACAGAATGGACGCCTCGTTATTTTCCAGAAGTGCGTTTAACGGTACGAAAGAAAGATGATTAACGAAGAAAAAGATAAAAATAACTGGATTAAA